ATGCAACGACTGGGAATGATTCCACACGAATTCCTCATGGTCACCGGCGAGAAACGGTAGTGTTTCTCCTTTCATATGCCTCCTAGCAAACTATTTTGGACACATTTATGATAAAAAGAACAGACAGCAAACTTTGGATCGGAATATTATTCAGCGCCCTTAAGCACCAAATTGAACAAATATTATTGAGTATGTGTACTGCTGTAGTGATGTTCATATTTATATTCCACTGAAAAAGTCTGTGGTTACACTCGACATGCGGGAGCATGGCATTGGATTCTCTGTCGTAGTAGTAACTCTATCTACTTTCAGCTCATGGTGTTCTCTCAGCAAGTACTTTCGGAGATCGGCCCATAGAGTTGAAGATTCACAAATCTCTGTCTGAAAATAAGGTTCCCAAATAGACCGCATTCTGATCTGACGAACTTTTTTTAATCTATTTAACCACTTTTTTGTGCCAGGTCATGCATTTAGGTGTCGCAGACTGACTTATTTCTAAACTGTCATGAAAGAGTGATTATTATCAAAGCTCCTGACGGTATAACCCCAGAGCTAATGCAGACCGAGTCAGTTTCATCGTGTGAGTGAAACTCTTGAAACTCCATTGAGAGCCGAACAGGATGTACTGATGTGAATACGTTTTCCCATTCTGGATGCACTTAATCAGTTGTTATGTGCGTTTGTGCGTACCCAGAAAAGTCTGTTTGGCTTCACTGCATTTGGGGATAGGCTTTGCTAATGAAGACGGAGCAAGCGGACGAGGAAGTGTGGATAAAACTGTGCATCGACCAAAAAAACAACCAACAACCAAAAAACACCACTCATTGAACCGATCACAAAGGTCGTGTGTTGATAGGCCTGGATGCATACAGGTGAACAAAATGAGAATTCGGGCGAGGGGTGGGATGTTGATCGCGTCAGATGGAATGTCCCAAACGTGCTCAAGAGTAACAGTACTTATCACAAGCACGAGTACCGACTCCCAAATTGAACTCAGAAATGCGATACAGTCACGCATTATCGCGTTGGGCCGTTTGTTACTTGGGCAATAGCACGAGCATTAACAAAAACACACGTGCGGAACGTAAACAAGCCCCCTCGTGAATCGGTTCAATTATTGCACGGCATATTGCGTACGGCACGGGCCAACCGCAGATTGGAATTAGAGGCCAGTGTGTGTATGTGTG